TACCCATTTTCATGTCTACTCTTAATTGCTTCAGGCGAATAAATTAAAATACATGTAAAAACGTTATCAGCATTTTTAATTGCTGCCTCAAGAATTGGTTTGTCGTAATACGGATGAGGAGTACCAAGTAACGTCAACATGTGTATTTTGTAACATACCAATTGTAGAACCCTTTTAGCTTCTTTCGATACCTTAATTTTCTTCTCGATATGCTTAATGGGTGGAACTACAAGTTACAAAATTATAAGTCAAAAACAATCATCAAGATTTTGTTAATTCCACAATGAAGGATCGGAACTCACTCCATATGTTCTTACCTAGCGTTGCTAAAGCTTTCCACAAAAGCAAATAAAGCAGACGAAGTGGGAGAAAAACCATCCACACTAGAGATCTTATCAATCCACGCACCAAAAAAAATGTAAACACCGGAACTGCATGCGCATGCACAATCAAATGCATAAAACATTAGGTTCTTTTAAGACCACCCATGCATGCATGCATAAATCTTTCAACATCCAACTCAACCAGGCATCAAATGCATTTGACATAGTTAGGCTGCTGTTTACCTCTTAAAAAGAGSTGGCGATGGCTCCCCAATACCCACCCGCTCCTCTGCCACCACCGCCACCACAAACTTGATGATTGAAACAACCAAAAAACTTGGTCGAGTAAATCCTCAAAAGCTTAAAGAGAAAAAAACACCCTTAAAACCGATTAAGAAATAAAATATCTGAATACATTAGTATTTATCGATCGGGGGGCGGGGGGCTTAATTAGAAACTTACCGTACTCATCGGTAATTGTGGGATTGGTAAGTGTGGGATAGATAAGTGTTTCCCAGTAGTTTAGTTCATTGGGAAAGGTCCTAGCTATAGCCATCAATACTCGATCACTTTCCGTAGAGAATTCAGGAAACCTCTCGATTAAGTCATGTGCTGTACCTGCAAATGAGTGTGAATCTGTATATATGTCTCTGGGGGTTATAATATATAAATTATGGGATATTTTTGCTATATATATATATATATATATATATGCACTCACTCACTCACTGTATTGTTTTGCAGTAATGGCATTGACAAGAAGGCTGGCTCCCTTTTTGGAGCCTTGAGAAATGACCAGCTTCGTGGCTTTGTGATTATCAACGGCGACTTTGAACAAATATTCAAAGGTATCAAATTGCATATTGTTAAAAGCTTTAATCAATGGGTCTTGTTCTTTTTTGTCTACAAGTGTCAATAGGTCCTTGTGCTGATCAACCAACAACTTCATTGCATATTTGTTACCAACACTTACGGCAACGTGAAGGGCCGTGCTTCCATCTTCATTTTTCTGTTCAAGTATTTCTTTTTTTGCTTCCTTTTTTATAAACAGTAACAACTTTTCGACTATATCGTTTTGACCCTTTTCAACCGCCATGTGAAGCACTGTGTTCCCGTCATTCCATATATCAGTTTTCAATAAATCCTTATTACTTTCCAATAGCTTTTTTATTTCCCACCAACTCCATTCCGATGCATCCTTATACATGAAGAGTCTCCTCCATTTTTCTTCACTCGTTATTTTTGCTTTTGATGAATTTGCATCTTTACCAGCTTCTATGTCTTCTGAAATCGCGTATTTGCTTTTGGTTTCTATCTCTTCTGGACCTACAACATGTATATTTATACTATCTTATTAGGCAAAAGTCTTCAAATTCTAAATGACCAAAATACCCTTTATACTACCATTTAGTCACTTTTTCACCCTATCCTCTCCTCTCCTCACACAACCGATTACAATTTTAAATTTATACTTTATACTTTTATAATTAGTTAATTAATTTACTTTACGTCTTTTACTTATAAATGTTTCATTTTAAACCTTTATCAAATTAACATACATAATCGTAAATCAATAAAAACATGTTTAAAAAATACATTTTTATTTTAACAAGTTACACCATTATAATCATCTCGTTAATACCTTCAAAATGAGTCCAATATTGAATAGTTTTTGACTTAATTATATATTATATATACTGTGAAAAAATATTTTTAATATTTACGATTTAT